TCTTTACAACGAAATTCCGAATCCATTCTTCTCTGCCGTAGTCTAACTAATCATTGATCTGTTTGTTCTAGTTTCCTTGATCGGTCAAAATAAATGTCTTCTGTTACATATCGCCACTGCCTTTTTCCTTTTCTTTAGCAGTTGCAATCTACTAATCCTCGTAGCCATTGCGTTTTCACTATGTTCCTTGCTTGCAAGAATGAGTTCACGTGCATATATTGCTTTAGAACTATTTAATCCCATTAACACTATGTAACATCTTTTTAAGAGTCAGTTATGGCGTTAAATGACGACTTGAGGTGGTGCCAGGCTTCTTCAGTATGATTTTGTGATGTCCCGGTAACTACCTAGTCAGTTACTTGCTGAAAACAACCCAAATATTCTTACCGTCCGGCTGTGATAGCATTGATCTTGGTGATGTAGTTTTTCCATGCCCATTTAGGCGCAGATGCATAGAAATTGCAGTCAGTGAGTGCAAAAACAGAGATTACAGAGAGACCAAGGGGAATTTAGTAGATATAATAAATTGACCGGGTGAGGCGAAATGTGAGTGTTTATCAATTTTTTGATTGATTCATACGCTAATATATATATATATATATATATATATATATATATATATATATATATATATATATATATATATATATAAAGAAGAAATAGAGGGCTTCTAAATGAAAGGCATGATTCTAGACTGATGTTCAGTGTCAATCATCTTTATTTGAAGATTTCAGTGGTTCGCAAGTTGGTATCAAGACTAGTGAGCTGGCAAAGGAGATGTACGAAGTTGCATTTCGCACTAGTCCACTTCTCTTTTATCTAGGACTACATAATAAAGATATCTGTCTCAAACGGTGTTTTAATTTGCGCCTTACTCAGAGACTAATTCAAAGAGTTATTGACATATATGAGCGAATCATATAGAAAAATAGTACTTGGATGATCAGTAAACGGAGAATCTGCGAGCTTTACTTTGGAGCTTATTTCACCTTCTATTGAAATTTCTGAGTATCTGAAAATAGAACATCATTTTAGATATACAATGAAGTTAAGCCAAGTTAATTTCAATTTTTCCGCTATGAAATTCAATACCAAATCTGTTGTTTTCGATTTCAAACTGTTCTGCCCACAATGACATCTGTTCAGTTTTGACAGTCGATTAGGGAATCTTCTCCGTCAAATTCATATTTCTGTTTGATAGGTCAGAAAAAAGTCCCTGCTGTGCTGTTGAGATATGTTTGTTGCATTCATCTATAATGAGATTGCAAGTGTCCCTATGTTGCATCATAGTATATATCTTCAACTCTACAGAGTATTTCACCAAAACTTTCTGTCAAAATTGTGAATTCCTTGCATCTTGTTATCTTCGCCTTTGTCAAATACGTTGAATGTTTTCAAGATACAACCACAACAAATTTGATAACTTTCGTTATCAGAAATATATATATATATATATATATATATATATATATATATATATATATATTTCTGATAACGAAAGTTATCAAATTTGTTGTGGTTGTATCTTGAAACATTCAACGTATATATTATATATATATATATATATATATATATATATATATATATATATTTAGGATGATGACTACAGTTGAGTGTCAGTGAAGGAAAATGCGAAATGGTGAATCGTAGAAGGACGGTTTATTATGACAATTCGTACATTTCAGATTGCTTAGTTTTTGACAGGGTCGTTGTTACACACTGCTGAGGAGTTCCATATGAGGACGAAACGGCTGTCCAAGTTTCCAATGTTTCTTTAACTGATGTCCGTCCGTGGTGAATACCAACCTTAAATCATTAAGTCGATCCCCACAAAAACTTCAAATTGAACTTGTACATTATTGATAAAATATTATACCCTTTCATTGAAATATTAGTTTGCACAATATGTTCATCTTCCTTTATTTTGTCTAGCTACTGATACGGCCACGTCATTTTTGCTCTTCTCTCTTCAGAATATTTGTCCATCTCTCGTAATTGTCTATGACTTCTTTCCACCTCCCAACATATGTTACTTATATCCATTTTCATGAGTAGCACCAACTACATCAGTTGCAATAAGATTCAAATCATCAGCCCCTGAGCTACCGACTGGGCACAATGCCAACTGAGCAGTGACATTCAGTTGTTAACAAAATAACAGTTTCACTTAAACACCTAGGTGTTTTTTCCAATTTGTGAGGGAATAAACGCCTATACGTGCCTTTTTTTCATCCCACTAATTAGTCAGATATATCTTAATCAAAATCTTGGTTCATATGGAACTGGATCAAAAACGAGGATGAATAGTTGATTGGTGACTACAGTATACAACAAAGTCTTGATTGTTCCCTTATGTTTTGTCTTCAAGGAATGAAGAAACTCGGTTCAGTACAGAATCAGAGATAAATGTCACGAAATGAAATGATAATTGGTGGAAATATGAAAGAACGAAGACTTAACAACATCTGTTACAATTGACTTGGTTGCGGCTCTCTTTGGAGTCCAGTACACGTGTTTCATCAGTCAGATGTACCTGTATCTCAGTAAGTGATGTTGTGCTCACTGAAACTCGAAACGCGTACCCATCGCTTCAAATGTAAAAGCGCTTTTCACTAATCCGTTGTGGCACGACAGCCTCCTCTTGAACGAGACGTGCATCCTGGATCCCACAGTTGGTTACGAACACGTCGAGTATAATAGTAAGTATTCAGGCAATATCAGGGCATACGCATAGCAGCCTATATGCCAACAGAAGTCGACCACCTAGATCCAGTATAACAATGGAGAATTAAAAGTATCGACAAATCATAAAATAATCTCTGTTATGCCTAAATACACATTGTCAGACCTCAACACTGCACTGTTATAAGATGTGGGCAGTTTTATAAAGAGACAATACTAATTCACTTGATGATGTTTCGAGCAGAAATTATTGGTTAGTGGTAGTAAACTTTTCCACATCTCTGGTATAGGTATTGCGTCATTCCCATTACATGTGTTGGGTGTAGATTCGATAAACAAACACTCAGTAATCTATCTCTCTCCCAAACTATGTTAGACTTAAATACAGTGGTTTTATCCTATCCTATTTTGTGCATTGCAATAGCCGAGATTTCCCAGGTTACTGACCCTATTAACCGACAGAGCTTAAGAGTAATCAAAAAGATATATGAAACCCTGGCATATTCTGAAACGCAGTGTATAGCGAAATCCGAATTCAAGCTTCATTTGTTTAAGATGAAGGTAGAAATTGAAACCCTTGGTGAAAGTTTTGTGATAGTTAGTATGCCTCGAAGGCATTCTCAACAAATATCCCGCTTTCATGTATGCTATCTGTTCCACGTTACTTAGTTTTCAGATAATTTTAGCATAGTCACTTCAAGAAACATCTACTTTTCCTACACTTGTTCAACCTTTTTAACAATGCTCTATGCAGGGCGCATCCTACCTTATGGGATAAATATCTTTTTCTCACTACGTTTAAACGACACAGTGCTGCTAAATGAAGGCATTGACCAGACGCACAATTTTACGGTCAGTTAGAGAGATTTTTGGTGGTTTATCACCTACCGAAATGCAAACTATTGTTCAATTTAAGGGCCTATGTTATCTGTTAATGAAACATAATGGGTTAAGTGGTAGTGCGATGACCACTTCCCGTATTTATGCAGATGAATCAGTCGCAATCGTCTAATTTAACACGAAATCTGGGTAAAGAGAAAATGTGTCCCGGTCATCTACTAGTTCGAAACATCAGATGAATATAGAAAGATCTGGGTGTATGATATTGCACGCCTTCTTTTAGCTGAGAATTGGTCAGTGATGACAGACATATGGAAGATAAGCGTGTTTGATAACTACTGCCTCCAAAACATTGATAAAATACGACAAACGAGTCAGAGAGTTTGTAAACTTGCTCGACTGAAATAACTGGTGTGACTGACTGACAAAATCAAGGTAGAACCACCCACATAGGTGCATCAACTCAAATTCCCACTCACTCTTCACACTAGTATACAAACCAAAGGGGAATATGAAAAACAGGTATCAAAGTAGACAAACTTGTATGACAGAATAAACAATCTAAACATAACGGTCAACACAAACATTCAAGCTTCAGAAGATGTCAAACACTGAATACATCTGCACCACTCTCACCGATTCTCAGACATGTCAACAAGACTTCTCAACCACTCATTCCATGAGTCTTGCTGACCTCAAATAGGTAGTTTACATCTCACCACACCATACGACTCAGACCAACAATCAGAGACTTTGTCGACTAATGCCACGTCTTGTCCTGGCCACAGTGAACCTTCTTCCAACCTAATCCAACTTCTCACACCAGCATCATACGTCTTGCTTAGCACCCTTCAGCAAAGGATGTTCTTTAAGCTGTTTTAATAAGTGACCTTGCAAAAATTGACCTTTTTCACTATATATATATGGTCTTAATTATAGTAATGGTGGATAGTGGCTAGCAGTGGAATCCAAGACGCGCATTTCGTCCTATTTGGGGCTCGTCAGCTGGATGTACCTACACCCCAGTGAGTGATGTTGTTCTCACCGGCATTCGGGAGCGATCGCTCCAAGCGACAGAGTGTTATCCACTATACCTCCGAGCCATAATAGCCACTTCATATGCGACGGGTATAGTTTTAGTATAATTGCTTGTATTATGGAATCATTGATTGGACCGAATTGATCGGTCTCTATTGGCATATGGGATCCTGTGCGGATGCCTCGAAATTACCTGTGCTCTAATTGTAGTAATGATGAATAGTGGATATAAAAACAATTATACTATATGGTCTTAATTCTAAAAATGGAAATGAGAATGAAAGAATGACTTTAAAGGACAACTAGGAACAACTGAAACAGCTAATTAAACCTCATTAATCTTACAAAGATCTACCTTTCCAACCAAAAATCAGTCGTTGCTAGAGCGACTCGGATAAAACAATGCACCGTTTCTTGTTGTTCAAATTGTTTGTTTTTTTAAAGCACAGAAAAAAATATTTGTACTTCAGTTTTACAGATATGAAACTGAGGCAAACATATATCCACTGGAAATTATACTGAACTTTAGTTGTAATAGAAATTCACCTACTCCCCGACAGACAACATGACTGTCAACATTAAAATCAATGCAAAGAGAAAATTATACTGGTCAGTAGTAAAAGTATTTAGCCAATTCACTAGAAAGAAGTGGAATTGAAAAGGTAAAAATCAGAAACATTGTAGAATACAGAGAGCTGTTGTTTTTCCATTAAGAGGTGAACAGAAATATGGTCATTTTCAGGACAGATTGGATTGTTGGAGTATATCTTGATAAAAAATAATTCAAATCAAGGAATTAACGTATAAACAATTTTCAATGATAAACAAAAAGAGAAATTAATAAAAATGTGATAATCAGCTGTACATGAATGATTTTTTGCCAAAATGTGTAAAATGAAGAAAAAATATTATCAGTTATTAGTTTATTGATGAGTAATTCAATGATTTAGCACCGACAATAGGAGTTTTCAGTAGTTGTACGTGCTCTCGATCATAAAAACGATTGGTAATGGCGTCTCCAATACTTCCATTCATTGGTTCACCGTCATCGTAATGATCATCATCACTAGAATCTATTGTATCGGTATAATCAAGTGAATATGGTTCAGATGATTCACTCATGCTTCTTATTGCTTCTGTTGTCAATATTGGCTCCGGTGAATTAGGACAACACGGCAACAAAGTGATGTCAAGCACACGATTATGCACTAATGTCCCGATAATGAGCAGTGCAAAACCATCAACTGATGAGAGATATAAAAAAGAAGGGGAAAAATCTTTAAAAAACCAAAGCAATTTGCTTCGAATGTAAACAGAATTTAAGACTAAAAGGAATATCGTACACGTGGTATGCGCAGTGAAAATACCTTATCAATGACCTTACATCATTTCGTCACACCTTTTTGTATTGCCTATCTGAAAGAGGCACTTCAATAAATCAAATTAATTATGAAATAAATGAATCATATATTGTAGGTTGGATAAGTTTCAAATTATCTGCAGAATGAACAGACTGCATCAATATTTTTCTATAGCGAATTAGCCTTTTTGCTTATATTGTGTTCTCTGAGCTGGGTTGTGTTTAATCGTAAAGCTTTCATAGTCTTTCTAGATGACATCATCAGCATTAACTTCAGTATAAAGTGACCCATCAATATCTCTCCACGAGTGATCCATCAGCTTGCCATGATGAACTGGTATGTGGCTGGTTGTTTCCTTTGATTGTTGTGTCATTGACTGCATAGACTTTCCTGTTGGCTGTTCCTCTGCTTCACGTCTCACCTTCCTGTCGTTTATCATTTTTTGCACTGGTTGGTAGATTCGGTCTATGTCTATACATCTATTGATTGCTGACTGACTGATCTGAATGCCAAGCTTCTCGGAATTCTCTGATATTCTCTGTTTCCTCTGTCCAAAATTTCCACACTGTCAAGACTGAATTCATGTCCATAGTTGTCCACGTGCATTGAAATGAATGATGAAATGTCATGTGTGACGTTTAATAGCTAATTGGTGTTCATGTAGACGAAGGCGAAGAGAGCGACCACTTTGTCCAATGTAGTGTTGACTACAGTTATTGCAAGTGGTTCAAGTGGTCTCAGTAATCTCGTCGTGATTTCTGATACATTCTTTATGTACAGCAGGATGGTGCGTTTGTTGATTTCTGTCGATTACTTTATGGTTTCATGATGCACGAGATAGGCATCTATCTTCTGATAAAGTTTTGTGGGCAACCGTTCCTCTTTAGGATAAACATCAGGAAAACTCCACGACTAAACAACCCAGCTCAGAGAACACAATACAACCAAGACCATCCACCTGAGCTACAAATATTCCCCACCATTTCAGAATTGGCCTTTTTTAAAGTTATCTTGTCAAGAAGAAAAATCACTACTGAAGAGACAGACAAAACCAACGTAGAACCACCCACATAGGTGCATCAACTCAAATTCCCACTCACTCTTCACACTAGTATACAAACCAAAGGGGAATATGAAAAACAGGTATCAAAGTAGACAAACTTGTATGACAGAATAAACAATCTAAACATAACGGTCAACACAAATATTCAAGCTTCAGAAGATGTCAAACACTGAATACATCTGCACCACTCTCACCGATTCTCAGACATGTCAACAAGACTTCTCAACCACTCATTCCATGAGTCTTGCTGACCTCAAATAGGTAGTTTACATCTCACCACACCATACGACTCAGACCAACAATCACAGACCTCATCAACTAATACCACGTCTTGGTTTAGCCACACTGAACTCTCTTCCAACCTAATCCAACTTCCCACACCATCATCACATGTCGAGGTAGGTGGTGGATTGGCATGTGCAGTGCATGTCCAAGTCATCTCAGTCGGTTAAGGTCCACAACCTCATCAATCGACTTGCCTGTTTTGCCTAGCATCCTTTGCCTGACCTCAACATTGCTCACACAGTGATTCTGCCAAACGCGAGTAATGGTACGAAAAAACTATGATCAAAACCCTATAATCGCTTCATGTCGTCTACTTTTAACAGCCGTGTGTAACAGCTATACAACAACAGGACAGAACGGACTGCAGCGCAGTGTACTTGTCTTTTGATAAAAGACCGAGTACTTCGCCAGTCGGTAAAACATATGACGCAATTTGGCAATTACTAAACAGGTCTACTACTGAGGACAATGAGTAATTGCGCACTACACATAGACAAAAGATCATTAGCTAGGCAGAAAGTGTGATCAAATCAAATAGAATGGTTGAAGTTCAAAGCGCACAACGTAAACATGTTCTTTACTGTTAAGTCACTTCTGTAAACTACCTGTTTTTTTTTATTGTCAAACAGTTTTGTAAGTTGAGCAACATTTTTTCAATGAGGTAAGTGTGTAGCACAATGACATCCTTATTAACGGTGACTGAGAACTGTAAACTTTCAAAGTTAAAATGTGCTTACCAACTACATTCACACTCTTGCAGTAGGCGATGAGCAACACCTATTGTATGAGGTCTAATGATACTACTACTTGATTGTTCAAACCTCGGTAGACGGAGCGGTGTTCGAACCCCTGACTTACTGGTTGAAGTAAGTTCCCCAAACCAACGAACCATAGTTGCACAGAAGTCATGGTACTTTATCTCCACTGTAAAGCTACTACTCTTGAAAAATTATTAAACATTAAATCTTTGCTGATTAAGTGATATGCATATGGAATACAGGTTCTTGTTTATAGAAGAAAGACTTTAGTCATCTTGAGAAAAATTGCGTATTGCTAGTGACACAACACATTTTCAGAAGTATCCAACTTAATAATACTTCATCACTGCTGTTCCATATCACAAAATAACCTCCATGTAATAGGCTAGTAGAAATGCACGGTCCACTTTGGTATTTCTCACAACGGAGTAGTTTCCCAACTGCCCAACTTTCGTATCAATAGATATTTCCTTTAGAAACCACATAACCAAGATAACAAGATATGACCTTTGAAACAAAAGTATCATGAACTAACGAAATACAATACCGAATAACATGAGTACAGTTAGAAACAGCTCATCGTGGTCTCTATATTTCGCTAGCCGGCTTCGAATAATCCAAACATCAGACGGTCATTTTACTCGTTTGGGGTGGAGATCATCAGTTGAATTTTTCCGAGTACACCGCAGATAAACTCGACCCCAAACGAGTGAAATTACCGTCCAGGGATAAAGATCACTCTAATCTGGCTAGCAAAATCTACATATCAGTCTAATTGCTTTTCAACTACTCATATTGTTCAGTAGTATAAACCTCTATGTAAGATTTCACTTGTATCTGAACAAAGTGTATCTCCATCATAAAGCCAGCAATAACGATTGTAACTCAGCCAGGTACAGGTTCTACAAGGCTACGAGGCAGTTGCCCGGGTCGAAGTACGTGAAACAGGGTTAAAACCCGTGACAAATTACTTGGAAGTCAAGCCACACCTCCACAAAACGATAACAGACCTTCCTTGTTACTCTCTGAAACACTATACAGTAATCACTACTTCACACGCAATGTACTGTAATTTCAACAGATATATAAAGCAGTTATTATCATAGGCTAAGTTCAATTAAACGGAAAAAGTACAAACAAAAAGTATACATCCAAAGGCAAATTCAGAGTGTAAGGTTCATTATGAATACACTCATAAATTGACTAACACATGAGGCCCTCCTCACTTTAATAAACCTGGAAGTGTTTTACGCATTGTCAATAATAGTCTAATTTGTTTTTGCCTTGCCTTTCAAGGGTATCATGTGTGAACGTTGTGTAAATATGCAAGCGTATGACTGGACATAATTTCTACGGTTGAGAAAGAGCCATTTGTGAGTGAGGAATGCCCCCTCAATATCTACTGCACTTGTCACCAACAGATCGGGTGATTAAGGCAAAGTAACATGTAACAGAGTTGTTATGGAGCTTGTGACGAGACTTTCTCTTTACTCTTTCTGGAATTCTAATTCTCAGACTAAAGTAGACCCATAAGTTGTTATGCTTCCAAATAAATGCATACATACATTAACCTAAAGAAATACAATTATATTAAAGTTGTCTAAAAGTAATAATCTACACAAATATGAACATCTGTAAACTACTAACTTTCAATAATACCCCATCCAATACTGAACGGTTCACCATAAGGCGGACCAATCACGTAGTATAGAATTAAACTGAAAATCCATACAAAAGCAGTACGTAAGGAATCAATTAATGTTCGATGGATAGCTATAATAAAAGTGGAACGATGACGAGTTTGACCATACTGATATCAAATAATACCGTATATTAATTGAATACAAAGAATTCAATGAAATCATTGGTGTGCATTATCAGAGAGTTGGATAAAGTTTGATAAAGATATAAAAAACCAAAGACAACTTGTATAATAGGGGTATTGAATATAATAATAACATTAATCCTACTGAAAACTTACCTTTTCTAAGAGGAAATGAAAAACATACAATAACAGGTCAAGTATCAGTACACAGTTTCATTAACAAGAGCTGGAGATCATACCAACGCACAAATATGGAGAGAATACGATAAATATGCAGAGTAGATATATTAAAATCAATTATTGATGAAAAGAAATACTCAAGTCAGTAAATGGTTTTCACTTGAACTGGAACTACATGATCAGTAACAATAAAAATTACTGGAAGTGAGCATTTTACTCAAGTTGGTATTAATCATGGACTGATATCAGTTGAAGGAACACTGAAAACCTGGGATCACTGGACAGTTGTCTCGTTCCAGTGTGGGACTCTTCAGCAGTGCACACCCACGACCACGTCAGGGACCGAACCTGCGGCCTTAAGGTTCTGTGACTAGTACGTTACCATTGAGTCACTGGGTTCATATTTCCAACTTCTGGGTGCACACTGCCGAAGAGTCTCACACTAGGACAAAACAGATGCTCAATGATCCCAGGTTTCCAATGTTCCTCCAACTGATGTTAGTCCGTGATGAATATCAACTTGAAAAAAAACTAAATCCCCACAAACCCCCAAATTCAAGTGAGCATTTTAAACCGCTTATGCGAAGAAATCTACAATCCCCTGGTCTAGAAATGAACATGCTACCGATCAATCAACAAATGGATTCTCTTCAGTTACTTCGCAACACATTAGGGAAACCACATAATACAACTCAAACATTTTCCTTCTTCTCAGTGTTCAATAGTCTTTTTTCCTTCTTCAACTTATGTCAATTGATGATGAGAACTAGCCCTCTTGTGTTGTTCTGTGTGTATGCATACGGTATACTTGGTGCCTATCAGTATGCGTAAGTGCATAAGACTAGACAATGTTTGATCATTTGTCGCTATACTTATATTGTGGGAAGTATGATACGCATCTATACCTATATGTACAAGTACATACATGTATATACGTGTGTATGACCCTAGTGAGTCAACACGCCTAAATATACGTATGCGTGACATATATATATATATATATATATATATATATATATATATATATATATGAAAACGTGAATTTCCTATGAAGTAAAAACTATGGAGATATATGATGTCCTGAAATTTAAGTGCTGCTACGACATCCGTTCAGATCAACATTCACATACTTACAACCTGACTGGTAATGTAGTACAGTCACAATATATCACAACTGAATCTAGGAAACGTAGTAGATTGTTGAATTTTCACCTTCACAGTTGCTTTTACAATATGTGTAATTCAGATGATGTAGCTGTATAAACTAGTAATTTATAACTTAGTATTATTATTATTATTCTGAAATTATTTTCGTCTGATATTTGTATTATAACAAACTATAGTATATGGATTTCAAGTTAGTATTCATCATGAACCAAAATCAATTGCAGAACCGCTGATTACCCGGGAATACTGGAGAGCTATTTTGTTCTGGTAAAGGAGTTTCTTAGCAGTGCAAACTCATGACCTTCAGGTTTCATGACGAGATGTTACCAGTGAGTCACCGGGTAGGAATCCAATGGTCCGCATTTTTTTACTTCTGTCAATTCACGACAGTGCGATATTCAATCAATGCCATCAGGTAGGTATTTGTCTTTTTGTGGACTCGGTTCACCCCATACGCCATGATTTCTCATTAGAATTTTAGAATATCTAATACCGAAGCATGTCAATACTGAGCATCGGTGGAGGGGGGGGTATATGGAGATTGATTGATTTTAAAGTAGTATTCATCACGGACTGACATAAGTTGTAGAAAAGTTGAGTACTTGGGAGCGCTGGATAGCTGTTTCGTTCTAATATGGGCTCAGCAGCGCGCACTTATGACCCCACTAGGAATCGAACTCAGATGAGTCAGGACTCGCAGTGCTCATGCTCTTGAACCATTCAGCTAATGGGTCAAATGAATGTTTTTCGACAGATACATCATGTTGATTTAATCAGATGTGCAAGTAATCGTCCTTCGTTTGTGGAAGCACACACTATAAGTTTACTGACAAGCTAATTCACTTAGTTATCACTTAACTGACCAGATTATTAGTCTGTGTAAAATCAGAAAGAAAATGCAATGCCTTGGATAGTACCGGAGAACGTTGCGAAAAACAAAGATAACATATAATGTAATGAATAAGACTCTTTTCCTATGATGACCTAAGTGAGCATGAATGATAAGTTAATATGTAAACACTTCAGAAACAGATCTAAATTCACAATATTTTCAACAACTAAACTGACAAACGACGTACTTCCTCACCTCTCTTTCACTTTCATTACATCGATATATGTATCCCTTGAGTTGCGAAAAACTGTAAGTCGATGCAATTCATGACCAAAAAAACCACTACTCTAGTAAACGTCCCATTCCATCTAAAAATTATTTCATACAATTCTTTCCCTTTGTAAACGTTAATAAAGTAGGAACAATGATTGGAACAGAACAAACCGTGTAACATTACTCTATTTCAGGAATTCTTCTCAGCTGCTAACAACATTTTTAGCATAGATTCCAGATAAATCTTACGCACTAATGGAACTCTATAAGATAGTCATGGTTCGACAGGACTATTATTGATACTGAATAGTGATTGAAGGTGGAACGAACACCTGGGTTGCAGCAGGAGAAATCCCAAAAATGTCATAGATTGTTCTACTCTAATTACTCCAGCCTTGTGCATTTCTTTTGTGAGATATCAGATAAACTGTACTTGATTCACCTCAGATGAAATAAAAGAATAGATAATTTTGTTACTTGTATTATCCGGTAGTTGATTAGATCGAATTGACCGGTCTCTATTGGAATATGAGCTCCTACGTGGATGCCTCGATATTGCCTGTGTTTCAATTTTATATTAATGAAGGTCTCCAATATCTAGGAGGCAGGAACATCCAGCTGACGAGCATCAAATAGGACGACTCCACTGCTAGCCGCTATCCATCATTAATATAGAGTAGATAATGGTCTTCAAAGATTCTACACATCTGTAGTTTACTTGTATGATAAATTCTTTGTAATATTAAAACACAGTGAATACTTATATCAGACTGGATAAGTACGGCTCCCAATATCAATGTCACATCCTCCAGCTAACTAGAAATTTTACTATTTTATAGCTATTGAATCAAATGAATCATTTGGATATAATTTAATAGTAACAAATTAATTTACATCATGGGCTAACAGTATTCTGATGACTAATGCTTCAAACATCTGCTTCATAGAATTAAGAAACTTTCTTCAGGAGTACACATTCATTGCTTTTCTAAACATGGAATTTACGATTCACAGGGTTAAGAAAGAGTAGTTCAGTTAGTGAACTACTGGATTTGATTGTAATATATAGTATTTCGGCTGATCAGGATTGCAATTAATAACCTTGAACTTTGGACAGATTAGATGTTCTGTAACAACAATGATATATTTCAGTTACAATTTAACTAATTAGCAATTAATTGTTCAAAGGCTGACAATTTGAGTATGGTACAAAACTTATGATTAATCCTCCAAGATAAATTTATTGAATGTGTTAGCCCCTTGTTTATTTAAAACATGGAAATCAATTAACCGAAGAGAATACAAAAAGGCTAGATAAAAGAAACTAAATTCTCTCTGTTGGTTTAGAATTATCTAGCATATTGACAATAATTCTTTACACAAGGGATAAAAATGCAGTTTTCTCATGATCTCTCTCCAACTTCTTTCTTATTCTTCTAGTGTTCAAATGATTAACAAACGCAGATATATCTTAATGCTTGAATCAACAATGCCTCTCTTCGTTCCCAAGTGGCATTACGAAGGATTTGGTAGCGTATCTAGAAGCTTGTCGGTGAGTAGCGACGTTTCTTTTAGGAAAAATATCTTGAATAACTTGATGAACATCGCTAGTGCAGTCAAATGAAATGTTTTCCTTACATTCGAAACACAAGCTTCAATGATTATGACACACTGTAGAGTCAGCAGATCGACAAGTTATGTTTATCACTCCAGTTGCTTAACCACTAGTAACTGAATGACTACATGGAGAAAGCTTCTAATAATTCCACCAGGACAGTGTGTGAACTGAACAAACAAAGATATTTTAGAAGCAGTATTTATCATGGACTGACATCAGTTGGGGAACCGCTCAAAATCTGGGAGCACTGGATAGCTGTTTCGTCCTAGTATGGGACTTCTCAGCAGTATGTACCCACCAACCGGCTAAGGATCGAAGTCAGGACCTTCAGGTTTCACGGCGAACACGTTAATCATTCACCCACTGGGTCCGTTCCTAGTGGTTCACAATTTCCAACTTCTGTCAATTCACAACACAGCGTGACTACTACCCAAGGTCTTCAGTTAGCATCCACTCCACTTCCGACTGGTTGACCCCACAGGTCACGGTTTCTCATTAGAGCTTCGTAATATCCATCTGGAAGCAAGTCACTAATGAGCACCATTTTTGAGATGAATGGGAATTTTCTAGATTTAGAAGTAGTATTCATCATGGACTGACATTGGTTGGGGAACCATTGAAAATCTGGGAGCACCAGACAGCTGTTTCGATCCCTAGCCGAGTCGTGGGTGCGTACTGCTGAGGAGTCCCATACTAAATAAATATCTACCTTGAAGAAAGCTGCAGTAAGTACCCCCAGAAGTTTATGACACTGTCTTTTTGGTTTGGTTTATAAACAGACAAACAAACAAACGGAGACAGAGTCAACAACAATAAAAACGGCATATGGTGGAATAAACAAGAAAACTCACAACTAAGACTTCGAGTAATCGACAGGCCACAATAATTAAAGAATGCAATCGAAAAGACGTATAGTATACAATTGCCTAATAGAATATAATCATTTCCAATTTGATAGATTGCATCGATCACATTTTCATATGATCCATTTAAATCATTTCCAGGGATGTAATGAATAGCTGGAAGTACAATCTAAATCATATGGGGAATAATGAATTTTTTTGTTAAGGATCCATATTTAGTTTCATCGGAATGGTAACATATTAAAGTGAAAATATACATTCATACAAAAAAGTGAATACATTGAAAAATGTGACTTTGTAACAGTGAACCACGCTAACGATATTCCCTATGTGCGGTATGAAGTGACTCTCTATTCACGCTACTTATATCAAAGAACGACGAAATGTTGTTACTTGTATTATTCTGTGGTTGAATGAACCGAACTGATCGGTCTCTATTGGCATATGGGATCCTGTGCGGATGCCTCGATATTACCAGTGTTCTAATTATAGTAATGATGGATAGTGGCTAGCAGTGAAATCTACGACGCACGTCTCGTCCTATTTAGAACTCGTCAGCTGTATGTACCTGGTTCCTAGTGAGCGATGTTGTTCTCGTTGAGACTGGAACTCGGGACCGATTGCTTCAATCGCCAGAGCGTTATCATCCGAGTCACAAATAACAACATAAAAATTATACTCGTCGTACAAGAAGTGGCTATCGTGATTCGATAGTCTAGCGGATAACTGTCAGGCGTTTGAAACGGTCGGTCTTGGGTTCTAATCTTAGCGAGAACAACACTCACTGGTATGTAGCTGCATCTAGCTGACAAATCCCCAATAGGACGAAACGCACATCTTGAATTTCATTGGGAGGTAGGTACATCCAGCTGACGAGTCCGAAATAGGACGAAATGCGCATCCTGGATCCTACTGCTAGGCACTATCCACCATTACAATAAGGAGGAAGAGTTTTCGTTCATTAAATCAACACCAAACACATGTAACAGAAATGATTCATCATATATTGCAGGTAACTGGAAAATTTTAATGGCGTTAACCTGAAAAAATGAAGAACTGTTGGATTCTAAAAGTGAAATCTGAAAGTTGTATGACTATTTTGATCTGATTATGAGCAATAAATTCTGTTCGAAACGTCATCATTCAGTAAATAATATTGCGCCACTCACTGTGAACTCATATCAAATAAACGACCTAATATAGGATTACACTTTATCATAGTGCCAAAGTTTTAATCTTACATTCATTACTTTTCCATTAAAAAAGTAACGAAAGAAATTTGAAGTAAGACAGCAATCATCAGCTAGCTCTAGACTGATAACTTGCTCATGGTCAGTAGAAAAACAGTTAATGGCTTCTAAGCATTTGACACTCGACAGTTACTAACTAGATGATGCACCTAATTTATTGTAATATAAGTATAATAATACTAGCTTATTACTAATACCTTGGCAGATGGATGGGATATCAATTAAAAACTCAGTGATCGAATGTGATCAAATGCCTGATTTAGAAACTTACAGACGCTTTCCTGTTCACTATCAACTCAATTCAAGAGGATGGTATTCTGTCAAAGTGTTCTGAAGATATTATATGTACTTAGCTACGATAAACTTTGAGATTGAAGTAATTCAACTGACAGTCCAGTATTAATGTTACTAAAACAATTATGAACATTCAAACAGCCATAATTAAACTTACACCACACATTAAAAGACATCCAAAAATGCCTTCCATTCCAACGGCTTGTAAGGGATGAAAGCCACGATTTTTTAAGAAAACTTCTTCTACTATCATTTGTGTGGCAGATGTGAATGTGCCTGCTAACACCAATGTGAGTCCTTTAAAAATATAAAAGAAATTAATAAAACATTGCTAGAATCTTTGATGAGGAAATCGAAATTCATTCAACAACCTAGTACAGTAGACAATGAGTAACACCAACCTCCGACGGCTGATGATACTGACTGGCTTCCCAAACCACGGTAGATGAGGTTAGGTTGAAACCCGTCATCTGTCGGATAGAAATCAACTGCCTGAATCACTTAGTCAAAGCTCTGGGTAAGGAAAACTAAACTCGAGAAAAATAGCCAACTACTTTCATATATTGTTTAACCCATGACAGGAAGGATTATGCAAATAACTCTAACCTGATTTGATGTACAGTTAGTGTTACTTTCCACATGTTTCAGATATAATTTTTGTATATAAGAACAATATCAGTTGGATTATCTGAGACAGCCGTGGTTTGACAGACTTGTATTGATGACTGAGTGATGACGGAAGGTCAAATGAAAATTTGGGCAGCGGCAGGATTCGAACCAACGACCACAATGCTCTATCACTATGTGCTACATGAAATAAACCAACATAGAACTATAGTCTATCACAGCCATCAAGTTCTACGCATAGCAATGACAATATAACTACCATTACAAAATGTCAAAAAAACTATGGTAATGAATTAAAGATTTTTTAATAATAAAAAATCACAATTCCAGGTTTGTATTGCTTTATCAATGTAACAGTTTAGCAGAATAAATGATGGGACAAAGGTGAATTGTACGATGATACTATCATAAGACCAGTTGAAGACTAACCAAAGAATTGAATGTGAAAGTGAAGTACGCAGTTGAATATAACACTATTAAGTATGGAACAATAAAGACCAAATAAAGATGAACAAACTAACTGAACAGTTGAATACTGAGAGGAAAGATGATAAGAAGATTCCGGCACACATCAACCGTATTCAAGGAAAGTATGGTAAAGTGATTGTAAAATGCGACCTTTCAAAGCTTTAACTTACTGACTGGTTAATGACCTTCAGTTAGTCCTCGACTGTGTTATATGTGCTACCTGCAAAAGTGATCGCTAATCAAGTTTATTTCTTTTACCACTTTTACATTTGAGTAATCAATTTATTTTACTCATAAGCTTGAGAAGTTACTTCAGTTGTTTTTTGATGCATATTAACTTTGGCTGTCTTCAAATAACGTGGAGGCGAGGGTAAGTTAATCAATTTACCATGGTGAAAAACTCTTCATTACATTGTATTAGTGAAATTAGCTGGACAGTATTGATAAAAAAAAACAACTGACTATCGAAACAGTTTTCCCAGTGTCTATTAAAAATTGTAGCTAAATGATACGCTGAAATAATTCCATTGCTCGAAAACAATCCATAAAAATAGAATAGTGTTCAACATCACAATAAAAAAGTATACCTATTGCTGACTGGGTAACAGTTGTCTTGATTGAGTGTTCACTGAACACAGACTTTGAACCGACAAGAGCTAATCCAATCACAGTGATCATGATTCCAGTCCATTGAAAATAACGCAAACGACGCTTTAAAAATATAACCTGGAAATAATTTTAAAAAAATAGCGATTTACACATGCATAAACTACTGCAGGTAGCAGATATATTTATGGATAGTCGGGAAAACCTGGCTTTACAAACGTTTAGTCCTGTACCAAAAATATGGTGACGATATATGGATGATATATTTACTGTGTTGAAATCGGAACATATCGACAATTTCCTCACACATATAAACTCAGTAGTAAGCGCAAACCAATTCACTTGTGAGGTAGAGAATGAACAAGGAGAATTGTCTATATTGGATTGCAGGATAAAACGCATAGAACAGACGGTGGTTTGGATACTATTATCTACACATTCCAACAGGTATCTAGACTTCAAGACATCCCATCCAATGTCAGTTAAGGCAGGCTTAGTCAAATGTCTAAGTGATAGAGCTAGAAAACTGACTAATCAGTACAAGGACATAAACAAGGAATTGAAACACGTAAATGAAGCACTAATAGTCAATAATTATCCTCCACAGTTTATTAAGAAATTCATACGGACACATAAGAGACGAAAAAATAAGTCACACGAGTACGAATAATAACGACAACACGAGTAGAAAGGAGTTCACAGCCTCCACCGGGTTACCCTATAAAGAAGATATATCAGGAACTTTACGTAGGATCCTTGACAAAGCCGGAATTAGGGTGGCTACAAACTCACTCAGAGATAAGCTTGGCTGGCTTAAGGATCCGATAAGACCAACTAAGCAAAATAATCTAATCTATCAAATTCCATGTAATGACTGTAAAGTCAAATACATAGGTCAAACCAATCGATCGGGGTCAGTTAGAATAATCGAACATAGCTAAATATAGAATGATAGACCCGAATAAGATCAATAATCTACGAAAAAACTCGGCTGTTGCAATGTATTCATTAACAAACAACCACACAATAGGGTGGGATAAAGCCACTGTGCTTAAGTCCAATATAAATGGCTGGAAAGAGAGACTGATTACTGAATCTTTGTTGATCGAATCAACCAACACCCAACACATGTACTAGGAATGACGCAACACCTATACCAGAGATATGGAAAATTTTACTACCAATAGAAACTTATATGAGGTGAAATAACTATAGAAATCGAATGTCGAAAGAAGTGTGATCACATTGAGCTGGTAAAGAGCAATAATTTATGCTCGAGACGTCACCAGGCGAATAAAACTATACTAAATCAAATAAACAAACCGAATATAAAACAAACTACTGTAGTTTTTTTTGTTTAAAGGAATAATAACATCTGAAAAGGAAGGCTATCAAAACACAATGAAAATGGTTCCTATTACACAGATGATAGTGAAGAGAAGTAATCAACGGTTGCTATGAGATCTACTTGAAAGCAAAGGTGAGCTGGTCTGAACAGTTGATTGAATGAATGACTGTTTACAAGTTGTCCAACAGCACTTGCACATAAAATCGCTTTTCTATGACATCACACAGGAAACATAGATTCAGTTATTTTATTCACTACATCTGTTGATACCCTCATAATTTTGTACAAGTAACGTTGATTTTGATAAGTTCCCATGAGAGCTACTACCTGTTTTTAAGCACTGTAGGATTTATGATCAGTCTCAATATTGAAACGATAACCTAGCATGTAACGGTTCTATTTTGTAGCCCCGAATGATACTACTTCTGTATCACGGGAGCCAGGAAACTACTCCTCCTAATTAGAGTGGTACTTTTACCGTAGCAACTATGAACTCTCTCGGTAGTAATGTTATCTGTTCCTTAATTCGAAATGTTGCTATGCCGTCTCTGTCCAAGTAAGTTTGGTACAAACTAACAAGTCAGACAGGGGTGCCACTATTTCGACGCTTTTAGCCAACTATCGCCAGAATAACCCCTCTTCTCAAGAAGTGTCTGTTTTTTCTCCGAATTGGTTTTGTGATCTTTTCTCAAGTAATGACTTTATTCCGTTTTCCGCTTTATAAACCAACAACGTGACATTGCCTTCGGCTACAACTTATTTTTATTGATTCGTAGTTTAAATCCTTTAAATTTCTTTAGGACAGTTTTTATACGTCTTTCTATTCGACGGTACATAACCAGGCCATTTTCACATTTTTCAGATTCCTGAGTAATGCTGTCACGAGTCTAAATGTGAGGAGTCCACCTGCAGTTTAAATGACATTCGTTTTTTATGGTACTGTTCTGACCGACACTAAATGTTGTTTGCTTTTAATACCCCAACCGTAAACCTAAAATTTCAGACAATTCCGTCTTCAGTAGACAATCTATTGTTTGCGACAGTGAGTATTGTACATAGCTTCAGTGAGGTTACGTTATTTAGTACCCAGAAATCAACGTAGAATCCACAATTCACTTGTTGTCATTCAGTATCCTTCCAGTCCGTTGGTTTATTTCGGCTTGACAATGTACGGGAACTCGGAGCGTTGGGATTCCACGATTCTCTAATAGAATTTTATGCTTCACCTTATCAAAAAAAATCCATAGGATTGTCTGTCTCCAATAATCAAGTACACTGTGCTTTGTGACTGACTTGCGTTTTCACCATAGTTACTGTTGTTGTTACTTCTACCTCCGCTACCTTCACATTTTGCAAATAGGCCCACTACTCTTCAGTTTAATATAAACTAACTTGACAAGTAAATATGTCATTGTTTGTGATTACGTTTCCTTGTTCGCACCAATCGCAGATCCTACATCCCGCAGATAATCTGTTCCGTATATTGATCGTAGTATACTTGTGGTGAGAATGAACGGGTTACATATTTTGCAACCACTTATTTCCATGACAACCTAAAAACCCCTGAAATCGTTAACACACTTCATCCTCACACCCCCAAGGTATAATACTGCAATATTGCCCCTTATCTTTTGACTTTATTGCTACTCTTATGTCAATTAAACCTAACACCTTTTATGACTGCCAAAAACCCCAGTCTAGTCGGAAAAGAAACACATCGTCTAAAATATTATCACCGTGTAATTACATTACCAATGCTTTGTTCGTCACCAAATGAAGCATCTGTTGCTTTTGTTGACTTTTACCAAGATAGCCATCTTATGTTGTTTTATTATTTGACTTGTTGCTAAATAGTATTCATTTATCAACCTTCTGTCATCACAGACATCACCGTCAAACTTACTAACTGCCTGATCACAGTAGCTAGTTCACAGATAATCATCAGTTGCTCTGCATTTACCAAGTGCGGATGTTCAGCAGTGGCAGTACAGACAATGTCGATAAACTGCAACATCAACAGTTGTGCTAAGGTTTATTCATCCTAGGTGGACAACACCCAGCGTAGATTTGTCAGCATCAGTCCCAATACTAACAAATTACTATGTGTACCGGGCTTTTATTTCTATAATTTTTGTACAGCTTCCTGCGCGTTAGCATGGCTATCGAACTCCGTTACCAACAATCTCCCAAAACACCTCTTCATCGGCCTTTTTCATACTGTTGTAACCCACCTTTGCCATGCTTCTCAACACCAACACTTCATGTTTCAGATTCTGAACGCCCTAAAGTCTCCCAAGAAGCGCTTCCCATCTCTCTTAAACATCTTGTCTGGAGGTAGCAACATAGGTTTTCACAACAAGACTAGGGGGAGTGATATCAATGTTTGCTAGGAAATTACATTTAGTACTGATCAAATATTACACCCCAGCATCTAAAGTAGTTTATGAGAATATTAGCATTCTACTCTCGATATAAGTTCTTACTACACACCACAATACAACTTTGAACAGTCATAAGATGCATCCTTCTTTCTCTCAACTTTTGTATGACATTACTTAATAACCTTGCTATTTTATTCAACTGAATGCCATTTCCAGGGATTTACAAGATAATTTAAAAAACTCAGCGTTAACCAGCAAAAAGTCCACCGAATTCGCAAGTGACTTTACTCACCATCTTTATAGTTATTTGTAAGTGCAATCATCTCTCACCTCAACTGCTTTTTAAGCAAACAACTAGTTTTAGATTTAGAGTGCCTTGATATTTACTTGCAACAGTCATTACAACCAGTTTATCATTATTAATTCACTGAAGATGACCACCTTTGAAACCTTCAAAACATAAATTAAAGCTTAAAACAGAAAATAGCGTAATGAAAATTAAGACAGACATTTCAAAAGGAATAGTACTATCTTATTCACGCTGTAAACAACCAGATTGATTATGGCCTGCCTTTGCTCAGGTCTCAATGACAATAAAATGGTCAGGTAGTGAACTATCAATGCCAATATCGGTAGTTTACACCAAATTAATAAGACCTTGACTGTTGCTCTGAGTTGTTTAGTGAGATGTAGACTTCCAAGTTACAGTCCATGAGAAAAACAAAATATCACGTACTTATTCCCCTCATCACACTTTACATTTGTCTTATGATCTTTAATACATTTTGACAATGTAATTCTCATGTCTTCCCTTTACTTCGATGTGCTAAAATGTGGCAACTTGGACAACTTCGCAGTGATGGCAAACAATTATGTTGTTGATATTAGTTTTCTGTGTCCACAAGCCAGCTGGGGAAATACTCTGAGTAATGAAATCTAGTCTATAGCTACCTCTAGCAAGGTATTTACAAACAAATTTGGTATATATGACTTGACTTCTAAATTTTCTCGATACTCTTTGGGTACATCAAAACCCTTACGTTAGATACTGCTGACTCCTTCGCATAGGATTCAGTTGCTTTGCCTAACGACCAACTAAAGTGTGACGAATCCTTAGCTGTAAATGTTCTCAGAAGAAAAAGCTATATGCGGAGCTTAGGTGCATAAAATTTAACCATAAGCTGGTTTTTTCTGTATTGTTAATTCCTCAAGTTATTTTCGACTGAAGTTTCGCAAACAAACTCAGATATCTTTCAAGAATGTTAGTACATGTTAAATACATTTAGATCAATTTCCCAGTACTATTCTAGAGATTTTGTAGAATCTAATCAACATAGTTTTAAAGATAAACGGGTAATATTTAGTGGATATTAACAATATTGACCAAAAACAATTTCTTCCTTGGGCGTTCAAACTCGTAGTCCCTAAGAGGTAACTTCAAAAGCCAGAAAACGTGTTAACAGTATGAAGAGTAAAGAAGTTGGTGCTTAGAAACTAACTTTCCTCCTTCGAGAGAAATAGATCGAAAATCATGTTTAGTCAGAAAATAAAAGCTAGACCTAATGTGATTATATTGACCAATAAGTTTCTGTTTTTACTGAAAAGCAATATTCAATGCAGACAGAAAAATCAACATAGTATCTGCCATAGAAGTGCGTCGATTCAAGTTATCACATTTCAAAACACCATACAAGGAAGAAGTTGATAAGAAAAGTAACACTAAGGTAGACAAGTGAGTAAGACGATAATTACACAAAGTTTAATGAAAATATTTAGGGATTTGAAGATTACGAATGTATACATCTACGCTATTAAATAAACGTAACCTACCGAAAGTATTCCAGCAAATACTATAAGTGATCCTCGAAGCATTTGCCAAATAGACGCATCGATGTACAGAAGACCAATGCCTATTTGCAAAATGGATATAATATCTATTTATAAAACCACATACCTGCTAACGTTGAGCCTAACAGGTCACAACACGTTGGCAACAAGAAAATCCAGTTGAAAACACTGCATGATAGCCGTAATTATTCAACTAACTCACGGTGTGCTTACTAAGCTATGACCCCTGGTGTGAACGCCAATAGTACTGAAACCATGAGCAAGGATTTGCCTCTTTTTCCTGAATCTCATTATAAGAAAAGCGAAAATACAGAATCCTTCACCGAAGAACATGAGCAATGTCTGGAACCATGGTTTATTGAAGTTATGTGGTGTGCGAGTATCATTTGCCGTGTGATTGAAATATCCTAGAGCACTAACCAGAGTATTATTTTTGAATGTGTAGTGACCAACATGCAGTCTAGCTGAACCTTTTTAGACACTGTGTTTATAGTCCCAGAAAAAAGCATTCCAAAAATCAAGATATAGTGCTTGATCGACATATCCATCGAGTGCTGGTCACCGGACGCGATTATCACCTGCAAAATTGTAATATCAAATTCCGCGCGAGTGAGATAAAGCGCTGACTGTCGATGTTCTGATTGGCCCTCAGAAAATCCAAGGCGCTAATTTCTAACCTTGCTACTGTAGCGCATTCGAAATCTTACTCATTCACCTTAGAGCTTTGACTCACCTCTTCGTTGTCCAGCTCTACCATTTATCATTTATCTTTTGTTATTAAATGTAAGTACATCTTGTGTACTTGCTGAGTCGTCAGCTCACCTTTCTTTTCCTTTCCAGATTCTCGTGGCCACCACCAAACTGACACCACTCTACGCGCCCCCTTCAACAACGTACCTATCTACAGGCTAGACGAAAACTTATCAACAACTGGTCATTACATTACCCTATATGATTAGTTCACACGCTATAGAGAAGCATGTGTGTAACAGTCGCCATCGGTAAAAAAGCATCAAAATGTCCTTCAGACCGACGGTTGTATCAAAAAATCTCGTTGCTGAATTCAGACGACTTGTGAGGAATGGAAGCTTAAGATCGTGGCGGGAGTGTAAGGCGTGCATCAAACGGTTCAGAGAGCTGAACTGTTTACCCAGTTAAGTCGTCGTTAAATGCTGAAGAAGACTAACAGCTTCTACAGGATTTCATCTCATAAACGGAGACGAAAACAATAACACTAACCCAGTCAGCCAGACACATCGAGTAAAGAAGCACCCGCTGCCATAGCCCCCCCCCCAAGTTGAAAATAACAATCCAAAAACGGAGCGACGCCAGTCTTATGGGGACTGGCGACTCTAGACGCAACCACATAAGCCCCCCTCCTCGCGAAACTACACAACCAGCCCTCCCCTCCCGCCAGGCACACTCTGATAGGTGCGTACAGCAACGCTAGGTGGCTAAGAGGGAAAGTAGCAGAGCTGGGAGCGCTACGTGAACGTCAGCACTATGACATCATATTTATCACCGATTCCTAGCTCTCGCAAGACATCTCTGATGAAGAGATGCATGTCACTGGCAAGGAACTCTTCCGCAATGACGGACAGCTCAGAGCAGGAGGGGGAGAGTATCCCAAAGTAAGCTCTCCTTTAGAGGCAAGGGTGGTTAGGGATACTGCCTTAACCCAGGTCCCAGAACCTCCATGGTGCTACTTCACTCTCACTGTACCAAATACCTGCTCGGAGTCATATATCGGTCCCCCACCAGCTCCCCTAAACATAAGGAAACGGTCACCAGGGCCATCTTGATGACTCCCTCTGCGGATTACGCTTTCGTAGACACTTCAACACCCCATCCATTCTCTTCAAGGCGGAAATGAGGCACGTCGGGTCCTTGAGTCAGGAGCTGAAGAATACGATTAAGACTGCCGGCCTCTCAGAAAAGTGGGTGATGCGACACACAGGGGACCCGACGGAAACGCATCACGCCTTGACTATGTTCTGACGAAAGGTGACCTTCTCATTGGGGATATAGGCAGCCAATCCCCCCTTGGCTTCGGCGACCACGCAGTAATAATCTTCTCCGTGATTACTGCAACTGGAGACGCCGAACACCCTCCCTTGCTCCAGCAAGGGCAACTACGAGACCATGCGCGACCATCTCATGAATCCACTGTGGCTGGCAAACTGGAACCATCTCACGAGAGACGAACAATGAACACAGGTGAAGAAAATAATCCTTGCGGCCATCGGTAACAGTGTACCCGAGGTAATACATAAACTGTCAGTGAGAACCGTATGGTACAAGCATGGGAGAGAAAGGCGAATACAGAGCTAGAAGCAGGCTTCCTTCAAGTGGTATCCATCACCCAAAGGGTCAGAAATTAGAACTATAGCGTGATTCGCAACCGCTATAAAACAAGAGCGCACGCTGACAGACTAGGCTATCAAACAAAGTTCCTGGGCAGTATATGACGTAATCCCAAAACACAGTACAACTTCCTATCAAAAAAAAGAAGTTGACCAGCAAGGGGGTGAATCTTACCACAGGTCCTGACTACAGTTTGCCGAGCGGTCCGGAGATTGCCAAGCTTGTGGGCTAACACTCTAAATAAAACTTAGCACCGACACCAAATCCACACCTACTCGATGCGACAGTGACCAGGTCATAAATAGCGAACACCTCTGCCGCACCTCGATCACGGAGAAGTGTAGGAGAAGCTACCTAGATTACGTCCAGGCAAGTCCCCTGGCTGCTATAACCTAAAACCGGCAATTCTAAAAAACTGCACCGAGGTGCTTGCAAAACCAATCTGCAACCTCATCAAGCACTCAGTAGAGTCGTGCAAACTTCCCGCAGAATGGAAGTGTCCCATCTTGTCACCCATCTTCAAGGGAGGAGACAGAAAAAGCCCTAGCAACTACAGGCAAATCGCTTTACTCCCTGTATTGCCAAGAGTGTTGGAAAGCCTGGTAGCTGACGCTACCTTGGATTTCCTCAATAGGGAAAATACTGTGCATATTGCCCAGCGTGCATTTCGGAGTGGCCTCTCATGTGCCACCAACTTACTAACCGCCTGAGATGACTGGACACTAAGCCGGGAAACAGAGAACCGGTGCATATTTTTTTTATCTCAACCTGGCCAAGGCATTTGACAGTGTCCCACCCACAGTCCTGCTTCACAAGATCATGTCAGCTGGTGAAAGTGAACCCCTACTCTCTTGGTTCGGGAAGTACCTAGGAGGGGGGCAGTTCTGCATCGAAGTAAACAGGACAAAGTCGGAGTGGAGACCGTCGACGTCAGGAGCATCCCAAAAAGCAGTCCTAGGACCGCTTTTGTTCCTCCTGTTTGTCAACAACCTGACGGCAAAATATCCTCATCCATCCCCCTTATCTCTGACGACATTAAAGTTTGGAAGGTGGTGAACGAAGAAGCTGACTGTACAGCACTACAGAAGGACTCGCAGCAACTCAAACTCTGGTCGTCGGAAAATGGCTTGAGCTTCAACCTGGAAAGGTGCGAATGTGCATCAGTAAATACGAAGCAAGTACGATCGACTTCCAGTACACGTTGAGCAACCGTGCTATCACCAGAGTGTCCACGGGGAAGGATTTGGGGCTCAACTTCTACGACACCTCGAACATGCGAGAGATTAAGTACCATCGGTTTTGCATGCTCGCACTATCAATATAGGATATTGGGCTGGCTGTAGACCGCCACAGGTGACCGATGATTTTTCGATCAGCTGATCCCATAAAAGTGAAAATAAGTTGGATATTAGTGAAAACGAATGGTTTCCGACCTTTTCTTTGCGTATAACCTGTTTTCTTTGACAGATATGCGTTGCCGTGTAAAAAGGGTGGCATAAACTGCTTGTAACCCGGACGTGATGGGCATAGTTTTTGATTTTGTATAAACGTTATGTATTGAAGTAGAAGGTGTTGGGTAGGTTAAATTAGAAGTGTTTGGTTTAGGTAACAATATCTTACTCGTATTTAACTGCCAACAAGCATAGGAAAGTCATCATTCGAATCACTGTACTCTAACTTTACAAGTTTTCCCTTGTTGGCTCCCAAATGTTTTCTGTCCCTGCAGCAATATGAAAATTAATTTTGCAATATGACATGCTATCCTGCCTCAGATAGCTGTGTTAACATGTTGGAGATTTTTTATTGACGCCAACATTTTTATAACAGGTGAAGTTGCCGTCATGATGCTGGTATCTTTTTTGAAGGAATGTCGGTGGTTGTAGGTGTAACATAACGGAACGAATGCAAGTGGTGCGTGAGGACTAGTATACGGATAATCGCCTACTCTAGGAGACCCAATAAGATGTGACGATTTATTTCGGGATTTTCTCAGCTTCACTGAAGACAGCAACATTCAGACATTGTCTTTAAAAATGACATGTTCTCGCACAAACATTTACTCGAAGTAAAATATCATTGTTGTTACAAATACTTTCTTATTGTTAATTGGATAGGTGGTCGCGGGTTTTCGTACGAAGCAAGGAAATGAAGCCTGCCTTCGGGAAGCGGTAAGCTGGGAGACGGTGACCATTCCACTGCATTGTAATGGACGCTTAGAACTGACCTTCCAATATCTTTCTACGAGCTAGCGTAAACTAGTTGATTTCTTCGTGCTTGCCTCTGGGTCTTGTGCAACGGTTCCAGGTCTTTGGTGGATTCCGATGCAGTAGGTCTACCCACTCGACTGCTGTAGCTCTGGTTACCCCGACAAGCCGTTGGGAGCCGATTAGATTTTTTGGAAGTATGCGTTGTTTTTTCAAGGACTGTGGCTATGTGTTCCCCAGGTTTCATGCCAACAAAGGACTAGTTGGGCTGGTTGTAAAAAGGAGATGAAAAATGCTTCCAGAGAAATCAAGGGAGAGAAATTGCGAAGAAGAATAAACTACAGAAAACAAGGGTGGGAAAAAGGAAACTGTGCGGAAGCAGAAATATCGGTAGATCCATGGGATAGGGGTGATGGGGAGAGCGCTCACTAAAGTGTGAGAACGTAGTCAATGAGAAGAGGAGAAAACAACATTACAGGACGGCCCATCGGAACAGAGATGGTAATTCCATTAGTAGGAGACGGTAACTGGAGGGGACGTCTATGGAGAAGTATAAGGTTGAGCCGAGTTCGCAGTGATGGTGGTGCTGCAACATGTTCCATAATGGGTTGGTCGCACTGAGTTAGTAAGTTGTGTCAGCCTAGTCCATATCCCAGCCGGATGAGCGCAAGCCATGAGTCGCTGCGTAGCTCTCCAACCCCTTCTTGAAGCTGTCAACAGACGGGGCAGTGGCGATCTCAGCAGGAAATGCGTTCCAGCAGGCCGCAAAGTCGCAGAGAGAAAAAGGCGGACGCATGCGGGCTTTCGCCACCGTGTGGGCGATTCTGCTTGGGCTACCACGAGGATGCCACAGTGGGTGTTCGGTAGGATTGCACTGTTCGGATGTCTTGGACTACTTAATATTTCGCAGGCTGTTATCAAGTCACCACGTAATCCATGTTAGCTTGGAGAATAGATTCCCATGGGTTTCAGCCTGTCCTCAGAGGGTTTTCGCCTCACTCCCACGGCAACCCACGTAGCTCTCCCTTGAGCTTTCTGTAGGA